ATACACAGACCCTTTCCAAAAAATTTGAATATCATGGAAAAGTTGTTTAACTTCCATAATTCCATTCAAAAAGTTAATCTTTAACAGATGATAGATTCAGGGCCCATAATTTAAATAATTTTAAGTATTTATTTGTTTATTTTTACATAATTTGGGCTTCCAGCTCATGAAACCCAAAAAAACAGGATTTCAAAAAATGAAAATACTGTGAAGACATCAGTCTACACTACTCAGTTTTTGCAGAAAAAAAGAAATAAATTAGGATCACAGCAAATCAATCAAACAATGGTACTTCCAAAACGATATGTCAATCTTCAATACTTGGTTGAGGATCTCTTTGCCTTAATCACTGTCTCGATGTGACGTGTCATTGAGGCAGTCAGCCTGTGGATTGACTGGGAGTTATGGAAGCCCAGATTTCCTTGATGCTGTCAGCTCTTCTTTGTTGTTGGGTCTGGTGCCCCTCATGTTCCTCTTTAGAATACTCCATAGATTCTCAAGAGGGTTTAGGACCAGTGAGTTGTCTGGCCAGTCAAGCACTGTGGTATGGACATGAAACCAGGTTTTGGTGCTTCTGGCAGCATGGGCAGGGGCCAGGTCCTGCTGGAAGATGAAATCTGCATCTCCATACAGATCCTCAGCAGAAGGAATCATGAAGTCCTCTAAAATATTCTGGTGGACTGTTGCAGTGACCTTGGATTTAAGAAAGCAGAGTTTACCAACACCTGCACTGGACATTGCACACCAAATCATGACTGACTGTGGATATTTCACACCGGACCTCAAGCAGTATGGGCTCTGTTCCTCATCCTTCTTCCTTCAAACCCTTGGACCTTGATTTCCAAATGAAAAGCACACTTTACTTTCACCAGAAGAGAGGACCGAGGAACCAGACAGTTGTAGCCCATCTCCGTGAAAAACAAAACGCATGGAAGTGAGGGACTACTGTATATTGTTTTACTGTAAATGTTGAGTGTAAAAAAATAATAATAATTTACAAATAATATGAGCACCTATTTTATTATCTTAAATTCTAACTTTTGTGGCTCACGAGTACTTTAATACTGTACTGACAGTTTTGGTCTGCATATGAAAAAGTTTGGACACCCCTGCTCTAATCTCTGATAGTCTGTATTACAGATGAGAAAAAAGTGAATCTTAGGTCATACTCTTCTCAAATTGTTTCACACAGTTAAAATTCATAACTAAACAACTTGTTTGTTTTTAACCCTTATGTAGAAATAAGCACATTTGTAATTATTGCTTTCACTTTCTGAAAATCTCAGAAGTTTGAAGCAGTTTAGCTTGAAAAGTTTCGGTTTTTAAAAATACACAGTATTATGACTTTTTTTTTTCTTGTACAAGTTGATGCAGTTTCAAAAAGTCCAAATAAAAGCATTGTCAAAACCCAACAGGATTACAAAGAAAGTCATTCATCTGTGGCTCTTTTTTCCACACAGCACCTCTGAAGCCGGGCCTGATGTTGCACATCTGTATCGTGTGTTGAAGCACAGAGGTGGAACGGAAACACTGAACTTAATCCGCCACTGATTTACTTCTGAGACAGCAAACAGGAGAACACCGAGACAAACTGGAGAGAGTGACAACGCTGTTGTCATCCAGCTAATTCAAGAGGGTCAGATTTTAGTGTGAAAGCACTTCTTGGTCTCATATTTCTTTAAACCCTGGGAGTCCATTCCCGTGTGTTTCCTTTAGATTTTTAAAGAAAATGTTAAAAACTGTTGCTTATATGAGCAAATTATATAACTGGTGGGGGTTCAACATGTCTACTTCCGTTAATGAATGATTCAACAATAAATATGAATTTTCCATCTCCAACAGAGAAACACATTTATGGATCGACTCAATAAGTCATATGATGCAAAGCACAACAAATAAAAGAAGTAACTTTTAGAGAATAATTGGCTAGGTTTTTTTCTGAAGTTAGGTGAAATATGTCCTGATGCTGCTCAATAATCCAGGTAGATGAATCTAACAAGGTTTAGTCAGGTCCTCTGCACGGATACTTCTTTGTTGAAACGTTTCGTCTTTTATCCGCTTGCTTCTTCAGCCTGAGGCGCTGAAGCATCTTCTCAGCATCAAGCATATCAATTATAATAGTCTAGCATTATCAAGCATCTTCATCAAGAAGTATTTTGGATAAAAGATGAAACGTCTCAACAAAGAATCAGTCCAGAGGACTTGACTTAAGCTTGTTAGATTAAGTGAAATATGTATCTCCTGTAGATTATTTGCAAAAGAAAAGAACGTCACTCCCCAAAGCAAATCATAAATGCTCTTATAAGAACCTTTTCTAACTTATTGGGGCCCACAAAAATTATAACATTGTGACATTTGTAAAGATTTTAAGTTGGCAATGACTTTGGACACCTAATAATAGTAGTGGTAGATTTGGTTTAACAGCAGCTGTGGCTATTTCGTGCAACACGGTGTAATAAACAATGCACATATTCTTACATCCATTATAATATGTACTGTATGTAATTTTAATGTATGTATTTGATGTAGTCTAGTAGTTAATAAAAACGATTCACTATATGGTGAGCTATTCTTTTGATCGAAAGCTGAAAAGGTTTTTCAACAATTAAACTTTTTTTGTTTATATTTGAAGGGGCAAATGTCTGGAACTTGTGTCTTATAATTTCACATTACTATCTTCTTATCTTGTGCTTGCAGACCTGATGAATTCCGACTGGTCCGGGTCATACAGAGACATGAGCAGCTCAGCATCTTCTCCGATGTTGCACACAAAGTTTTTGAGGCTCATGAGGAGACTGTATGTATGCACCGAGCTGAACAGGGTCTGACGCCTCATTTCCAGGTTTTGAAGTCGTGTCTGCTTGAACAAAAGTCAGTGAAGAGAAGATCGACAACAGAAAACAAGTGACGGACGGCATTGAACACATCATGAAGAATCATGCCTTCTCTTCCTGTATCCTGTCGTCAACGCTACGGGAGGCCGTCTCATGCGCCCGAAACAGACTGACGGTGCTGGTCCGGTCAGGATCCAGAGTATTACCTGCTTCATCTCGCACCACCAGGTCCAACCCTAATATCCTGAGCAGCACACACGATCAGACAGCATCAAGTGAAAAAAGCAATCCCAGAGATGTAAGTCAAGCACATAAAATTTTACAAGCATGTTTACAATAGCGAGTATTTCATTGCAGAGCAGGACTCCTACCTGTTCCCATAATCAATCTTTGCTGTGACTTTCTTTTTCAGTTCCACAAGGTCGTCCTTTGGTAGCGTTCCTGACACTATCTGAGATCGATATTCGATGAGGCTGTAGGCCATCTGCCGCACACTCCTGAACTGGGGTATCTTGTTCGCCTGTCAGATAAACACACTTTGTTGTAAATAATTCTTCCTTCCGAGGAATGAACAGCGAGGCAGCTTTTTAACAAAAAAGTAGATGAAATAAGTATCTCAGCAGTGAGAGGTGTGCAGAACTGAGTGGACTGGCAACAGTAGTAAATCCAGAGAAGTAATCTACACGTACCACGTAGAGCTCGTGCCATATCTGCACCCATTCCCTCAGGGTAGCCCCTATCTCCTGCACAAGGGGTAAATCTGCTGGAATAATTGTTTCCTGTTGGCTACAAGCCCAAAGAAGAGAGGAGTAATGAGATATTGGGAAAAGTGGCTCATCGCTCACAGATCATGCTATATAATCTGGAAGTGCGTTTCTATACTTTGGAAATAGTTGGATGGTTGCCCCACACTGCCAAAAAACAGCATTACTGAATTCTTACTTATAATTACAAGTGTAGCACAATGTTATTGGCAAATGGCAAACCAAAAGCAAAGTGGATTATCATCCAGAATGAAATGTATACTGAGATGTGATCTCACCCTGTTCCCTCAACCGTGGCCTCCTTTAAGTGGATGTAGGAAGCTGGGAAAATGCCCTGAGGAAACAATCAAGAAGTCTCAGTACATACATACACATCATAGCATATGTTATAGCAAAATAAATCTCAAGTGATGCTCATACCTTCTGCGATTTCTTTCTGAGCGTGTAGCCCCTATACCAGCCTGAGGATATAAAAAGATAAGTGGGAAAAGGCAGAGAGGATAAAGAGAACTGGACAAGATTGGAGTGACGACAAGGAGGTGGACATTTTACATTATTATGCACAGCACACCGTGCGCCAGTTAGCTCAACATCTTATTTAAGCTGCTGTGTCGGCGTGCTTTGGAGAAGACAAGGGGGATGTGCCGCGGCCTGTCGTGTTCTCAAACTCACCTTCCAATTTCTCAAGTATGTGCACCGTGTCCCCCACCTGTAGACACAGCTCCTGCACGCCACGGGGATCATAATTGTAGATTGCTGGGGAACAAAGCAAAGAAGCGGTCACTTTATATAGAGAAGCAACAACAAAAATTTAGGGAAAAATGCTAGTAAGCTGACAGTTTTGACTGACAAGCTTTGTTCCCTCTCAAGAACCACTGGATTAAAGAAAGAAATCCCTCCTCAATCACTTTCGGCACAGAGGAGCGGGTCTGTTTGTGAAAAAAAAAGTTCTGCTTGAAAGGTTTGCAGTTCCTCCCAGGAAAATGAAGCCAATTCACCCTTGTCGTAGCAGGATTTAAACCCGCACCAGAGAGGATCCGGAGCTTTGATTTATTCTTCGTCTCACTGCTGTTTCAAACAGCAGCCCGAGAGTTTGTGCAGCAAGCACACGTGAGTCAAACCTCAAAAGCATTTTGACTATTTTTAATTGAATCTGCTGCCTTGAGGCTGTGTTTAAAGCACCTCTGCAGGGACTGTGCTGGAGCAGGTAGCTGCACAGGTGAGCTACACGCCCGATGGCACTTCAGCCTCAGTCATCACACAAGTGTGGACTTAGATCAATAGCTATGCTCCAGCCAAGTGGCACACCTGAGCCGTCCTTGTGCAGTTTCCATTTAACCTACAGGCTTCACTAAAGCAACACCTACTTTTGGCTTTTTAACGTCGACATTTATGGGAGGGAACGTTCATACCACATGTGTGAGCACAAACATACATACACAAACCAAACCAGAAAGATGTTGCAAAAGAAAAACCTTGGCAAACAATACTGTAGCAAAGGTCTTTGTCATGACTTGAGAGAGCTGCAACAGCACACACAGCCACTCATTTTGGCAGAAAGATAGAGAAACTATGAGCAGAGCTCTGCCCTGACTTGCATGGTGATAATGCTCGTTACTGCAGGCCAGATTTCACAGCGTGCTTGAACGGGCTCAGCTCATAACAGCTCAGTCGGAATATGAATATCTTGACAGGTCACTAAATGTGAGCAACTACACATTTGTGTCGATGACTCCTTCATCAGAAGATCCCTCCAAAATCTTCCTCAAACGCATGGAAAATCATCTCCATACAGAATCAGTGTTTGGGTTAGCTCATGAGCTGTTAGATATCAGGATACACTGAGGATGCTGCTATGGTATGATGACCTAATTACATTCATCCAAGGTGCCTGCAGTCATCTGTGTACGTGCCCACAGTTAAGTTTAATTTGGTGAATCGTGAGATTCTTTCTAGAGTCGTTGAGGAAAAAAAAAAAACTCCTGCAAATTAAACTAATAACCTTTTGTCTTGTTTTCTCATTCGTAATTTAAAGAGATGCATGTCGGAAAGGATTCTCTCAAATCCAGACAATCGCATGAATCACCAGGATATCACACTGAAATAAGCAGCAACTGCCTTCAGTCATGCCAGGAGTGACAATAGGCCATTCACCAACTTGACACGGCGTCTGGGCCTGGTGACAGCAAGACGCTGAGCCGGTGGGCGGAGCCACCATGAAGACGATTCGACGCTACACACTTTTAACTTAAAGGTGTCCCAGCTCGTCTGTGCCACTCTGAGAGATGCACTCGCCTTTTCAGACTTCAACTGCAGAGCTTGCAGCCGCTCGTGTAAACTTTAGCAAAGCTCTATTGGCTCAAATTCAGATTCGTGCGCATACTAATGTTACATCAAAGTCAGCCTGATTCACTCTAAATGATTTAGCATAAAAGTAGATTAGGCAACAATTAAAGAACACCAGAGCTGAGCAATCTGAGCAGCAGCTGGCAGCTCATCAACGCTAACACAATGCAATGAGAATCTACCGGTAATGTCTGTTCAGTGGAAAATAGTGACAAATACCATGTGTTTTTTTTAAGCTAGGAACTTGAGAAAACTAACAAAAAATATATAACATGAAAAATCTCATCTGAACTAATGCAAAATACAAGAAAATTGCAAATATTTTTTATTCAGACTATTTTCCATCTCATTCTCAGCTTGAAAAACCTCTAATATGAAACGGGAAAAATACAATAAAAGTCAGTAATGAGGTAGGCCACGCTGCAGCTGCAGTCTGATGTAACAAAAAGCTAGCAGACATCATTTTCTTTTTAACCAAGCCAAGTTCATTTAGACTGAGCCAAATGTTCAGACTTAACTACAAACCAATAAAAATCATCTCACTGAAAAGAGCAGAAGTTTACATATACTGGCACCAGATTATAATGAATAAATTGGTGCCAGTTACTGAGATTTTTTTTTTTTAATAAAACAAGGCTCTTAAAACAGGCTGCTCCCTGTGTTGTCATTTAAGCGGTGCTGAATGAGTCAACGTGACCAGAAGTTAACCAGCTGAAGAGGAACACGTTGACTGCAAAAACAGAACGACCGACTGCAGTGAAAAGTAATTTAACAAAATTAGTCAACAAACTTTGTAGGGATAGTTGAGAAGAATGGCTGCAATGTGATTATAAAACTATTTTCAATGCATTTGGATTATCCAAACCTTAAAGGAATATTTTACATAAAAAACACAGATTTATATATTTTGATGCTTGATAAGAAGTGCACCGTTTAATGCATTAAAAAAAAACTAAACTAATCACAAGCTGCTGATTAACAGTTAGCATAGATGCTAACTTCATATTGAAAATGCCACTGAGAAGCTAACATGTCACTAAAATGTATACGCAAATCAAAAATTTCAAAGTCGTCACTAAAACAGTCCTGTTTTGAAAACAATAATATTAACAGAAGTGATTTTTGGGTTGGGCAAAGAAAAGATGAAAAACGATGTGAGCCCAGACAGTTTTAGTTGATCATTTTAAAGTTACAAATGCTCATTCATAAAATTGTGCACCACACACTATGGCTATTTCCTGTCTGCGTTCATCTCTATTGTTTTGGTCCTTTGCAACTTTTACAAATTAGTTGTATCAGTATTTTATCTTGTGAGAGTGACATGAAATGTTGTCACATGTCCGAATGACTGCAGAGCACAACTGAAACTATATGAACACTGTTTGGACTAAGTGTATTTCCACAAACCAGAAGTAAGCATGATACTACTGTCTCTAGACTGCAATGCATTGCAAAGTTTGGATTTTGAGCATGAGCATTATTAACTGTAAACAGTTCAGTGCCACATGTTTCTACTACAGGAAGCTACGGTAACCCTACTTGGACAAACAGCACCGCACTGCAGCTGCTGAGCGTCTTAAAGTGGCAGCACATTTGAAAATCAATTCAGAATCTTGCATCTAGATTTGACCCCACAACCCTAAATATTTCTTCTGGGGAATATAAAAAACACATTACTGAAAACTCAAAGCAATTTATGTATTTTCTTTTTACATAAATGTTTCAAAAAAACTTTAAAACTCAAGTTGTTTTTATAGGGGGGAGAAATCTGCTCTGGTCTTGGTCTTTCCCTGACTTGCTGTTAACCTGTCAGTCCAGCCAGAATTAATCAAAGCGCTATCTAGAACAGGTAAGATATTAACTGTTCCTTCCACGATACCTGCACAAAAGATCTGAACTCACCCGTTAACTTTTGATGGGCGTTTTTATTTGTAGTCCAAAGAACATTATCTAATAAGGTTAGTAGGATTTTCTACAAATTTATTTATTATTGCAGTTTCCTTTTATTTTGTACTGTTTTTTTAATATGTTATATCAGATGTCATGTAATAAAGTGCTTCATGTGTGACCACTAAAGAGCACTAAGAAGGAAGGGCTTTTCCAATGGGTAAACATGCATGTTTTTGCTTGAGCCAACTCTTCCCCAGCAGGGTGTCTAAAATCCTTGTGTTTGACACTTTCTGCCTGGACAGCCAGAGATGATGATGATACTGTATGTGGCTCCGAAAACTGTGTTCTAGCTAATAAGTCCTTATAAGCCTCCAATAAATCAGAGAGTTAACTTTAAAGTTCAGAGCTAATAGTGCAAAAAGGAACTAAATTAGATCAGCATGAGCTTTATCTCTTAATTCAGGTTCAAACCCCTACTTCGACATTAGTGGAGAGAAGATTACAAAATTTAAAGGGGGAGGGGGAGGGGGGAACTGTGGCAGGATGCGAGTGAATTAAAATAATTCATCTAATTTTAGCTTATAAAAGCCTCGACTGACCCTCGATCAGGTCAGACCATCAAAACAGGGAGCAGGGACAGCAATTATCTCTGAATCACCACCTGCAATCAGGTTTGACTCTGCAAGGAGAGCGATCACAGATGTGATTTATGGATAAGATGATAATCTCCAGAGCCACAGAAACCTTTTGTTAACAGCATGCCAAGTAAGAAAATACGTGTGTGGAAAACAATTCTAAAAGTCTACCGGTACATGACTTTAACCAAACTGAATGTAAACGTGTTTTATATTAGGTGAAAGAGTGGGGAACGTACATTTAATCTAACCCCAGTGGTAATAACAATCCCTTTAACAGTTTCAACAGCTGTTTCATGAAAACTGATCAGAAAGGATACCTCTCACCCCCCCACCTTTCATGTCAAGAGTTACACTAAGATCAACTAATTAGAAAAAACATTATGCACAAACTTGAGCATGTTCGTAAGACGTCACGGTCAGAATAGTAATTTTTTTTTTCCGGCTGCAGTGCTCCCTGCTTCAGGCGTCGCCAACTCGCATGAAAGATTTGTCAATTGTTTTCCGCCAGATGTCCTTCCTGAAGCAACCTCACGATTACAAGACCGCGGCACTGCCCACCACGCTACCACAGCCCCAAGACGTCACGGTCAAGATGTAAGCTCCACGTGCTTGTGATGCATTTTGTACCCGTAAAATATTTATACACACTGTCAGTTTGTTGGATAAAAATATCCTCTATTCACCTCACTTACTCAAAGAGGCCATATTCAATGACATAAGATTTTTAACTGGTTTTACTTGCACGGGCAGACTCTCACAGCAGGTCACACTGATGTCAGTTTTACATGCATGGAGACAGTTACGAGAAGCTGCCACCGCCAGTGTGCGAGGTTTGTTTTTATACACTTATCAGCTCGTGGCTCACATGCAGACTGGTCCAGC